ATATTTAAAGCGCGCTACAGATCACAACTTAGGAACCTAGTTCCTCCACACTACCAAGTCCTCTCACTTGACAAGTCTGTGATCATGCATGGACTCCTCCATGCTTGGCCCCATGGCCCACCCTTTTTGAAGTTATCACCTTCAACTAGGGTATTTGTTCCCCTGACTTGCCAATCTCGCTTGGCAAGTCCTCCGACCACTGTAACATGGTTCCTGCATAAGCGTGAAAGTCCTTGACCATCGACTTTCGTTCAAAGCCCTCTCTTTGAACACTCGGGAACTACTTCCCTAACCTTGATAGCCTTGCCTCATGGCAAGCTTCAATACCACGCTTCTGCTGCGCCACTCTGATTTCGCGCATTCCATGAACCATTTACACTTGGCCTTTCTAGGTACTAAGCTACCTAGAATCCTCTTTGGGAACCTTGAAGGAACTCTGTCCCTTAGCTTGCTAAGGCCCCCCTTTCTGCAAGCTTTCCAATTACCATATAGTCTAACATGGACAATTCCATATTTTCGACTCTCCATGGCATCACGGTTGCTAGCGGCAACACCCTCGAGCCCCCACTTGATTCTCCATTCCCAGCTGGCATAACCAACATTGGTTATGCCCTTCGATTCCTATGGTTTGGTTCTATCCCCTTACTTCTTCCTTTTGGCTTCACACCTTTCCTTCAGTCATTCTCCTCCAGACCAGGAGGATAGCTTTGCACTTTCTATCATGCCTTAGCAAGTATTCTTAGGGATGAACCTACCCGATAGCCTAGGGAGTGGTTCCTCAATCCATGTATGCTCACCCTATAATCCCACACACCGGGATTACGTTGTTGCTTACGAGCCTTTGCATGCCCATCGCTAGCCTTGCCAAAATTCCATTTTTGGCTTTGTCCAATTCGAGTAGACAGTCTTCTCCTGTCTCCGCCACCTTGGACATTTGGATAGCACCTACTATCCATCATTCGCTAGGGACTTAGTCCCTTAGGCCTTATCTACTGCCCTCGCGACATCAAACACCACCTCCTGGTGTTTTAGAGTGTTCGGGTGTCCCAATGACGGCTTCCTTGACAATGAGTATTTCCTTTTATGACATTGACTTACTATATCACAACATAAGTAACTTATCCCCCGTAAAGGTATATCCAACTTCCCTATGCCATTAAGAAGGCTTGGGTAGCTACCTTCTACCCGTTTAACCAATTATTTTGCACCTCTTGCTTAGTTGCCTTGTAGTTGTCAAGTCCTACAACTCATTGCTGGTGCTTCCACACCTCCATCATTATCTGGGTCACCACACTCCAACTGCATGCTCTGCAGCTTAGGCTATGCCATTCCCATTTCTATTGGGATTCCTTTGGCAAGGGGTTCCCATGAACCCACCAACATAGCCTCAAGGTATCACACATTGGCACCTTTGGTGTCTCCACACCATCGGCTCTACGAGCTTACCTCTATAACACTTCTTCTTTGTGTCTAAGTCTTTGCCAAAACCGATACCACTCTTTCTCATGCCAACCATTCATTAGCACTGCATTATAGAGGTCACACACAACTTTGTGTCAAAGTTGTTTTCTTTTTGGGAACACCTTTCCCACGACTTTAGCATGGCACATTTTGCCATCGATAAGATACCCTCTATTCTCATCCTTGGATCCTATGATCCCCCCTCCATCCTTCATGGGGTACAGTCCAAATGCTTCCATTAGTCCTTTTAGGACCATTCCTTGACTCTACTTGAGTCATCCAGCAGTTTTGGACTTGGTTAATCCACAGACCCGTAAGGTCCCACTTGTGAGGCACTAGCTCACTTGAATACACTTCTTGCATTCCTGTCCTACTCAAAAGGACTATTTTCACAAGTGTTACTCTGACACTTGATTTTGTTCTCTGGGGGCAACCTTTGCCCCTTAGGACTACTTGTCCATGTGATGAGAATACCAACTCATCCACTTAATACACCCCCAACTCCTTGGGTTGTTCCAGCATTTATTAGAGGTAGTCCCGGTTACCATTTCGAGAACTCGTGTCCTCATCCATACTTGACCTCTCACGGTCATCCATTCCGGTCTCACCTTCATGAGCACCAGCCTCAACCATGTGAGGATAAACTTGTGACTCCTTTATTATTTTTGGAGTCTCTATCTTCCCTGTGATCCCAACTATAGTTGTTTACCCCAACTACATTAGCCCGTTTGCTGAGTCAAACGCTCATCTGGATCACCTCCTCAACTCAATGAGGAAAACCTTGCACTGTTCCCAAGATCCCAAAGTCGTTCCATTATTGGCCCCTTTTCTATCCACCACCTTGTCTACAAGTTCACACATGAACTGTAATGGAGAGCCATGTCTTCCCGACCTACTACTCCTCAAGGATAGGCCCACTTCTCAGACCTTCCGTTGCCAACACCAGTGGTGATATACTTGAGCACCAATAAAAGTCGGACTAAGGAACAGCTCCGATACCAAATTGTAAGGGACTAAATTTTCCATTCTACTTTAGTCACTTAACCACACCTCCGACCACTTGGAGGAGTCTCATTCACAACCTCCATAAGTCCAATCCAGGACTTGGGACTTGCTAGCCCTGAGAATGGCATCCATGCCACTCAACATTTGCACTTGGTCCAAGTGCTCCCCGTGTCCGATCCCATGACCGACACTCAAAGGTACCACCGACATGGCAGTCTGTTACGCTAAGGCCATGCCCAATCACCTTTGCCACGCTGGTAGTCCATTACCACTTGCATCACAGTCTTGGCTCTCCAAGACTAGGCAAACCATCCGTGAGTGGTCATCTGAGATCCACTCCTTAGCATCCTTAGGATGCCCACCGACAAGGGGAATAGCCTTCCCCAATATCCCTCTGTCAGTCCCCACTAAGTCCCTTTCTGCCCCTGGCCGTGTTTGCCAACACTGCCACTGGATTGAGACCCACAGGCCCGACCACTAAGTCCCACGGTCCTCTGGGACTTCCTCACCACACGACTGTGTCCTTGGTCACTACCCCAGAGGACTGCTCCTCTTCCTTTCCACAGTCTGGGCCTTTGGGACAACATTTCGAAACACAGTGGCCTTACGCAAGCCACCTGGGTACTCTCCTCGCCTTCTGCCCTTGGGTGCTCTAGCCATGGGCTTAGAGCGGGTTCCGTTGAGCCACACCAGGTATCCAAGTAGGTAGTGCCACCCACACTTGGACTAGGAGCATCGGCCAGTCGATCTCCCGGGGGAACTAGAGCCGGCTCTTGAACACTTCACCAAGCTACCCCGCTTGTCGGTCCGTGTTCACTCTAGTCTTGGACTTCCCAGTGGGCAGCTCATCACCCAACACTGGGTCCGGCCTTCCTGGGCCAAACTGGCTCCACTGCAGTCCTCCCCCTACTATACTTTTGGAGCTCACCAAACCCCCCAGGGTCTGGGAGACGAACGCTTTGGGCTTTCACCCTCTCAGGCTCGGACTCGGACTCGGACTCGGACTCGGACTTGGACTCGGACTTGGATTCGGACTCGGACTCGGACTCGGGCTCGGGCTCGGTCTCGGCCTTGGTCTCGGTCTCGGTCCCGATCTCGGTCTCGGTCTCGGTCCCGGTCTCGGTCTCGACTTCGGACTCCATCTCGGGTCCATCTCGGACTCCATCTTGGACTCCATCTCGGGTCCATCTCGGACTCCATCTCGGGTCCATCTCGGACTCCACCTCGGGTCCATCTCGGACTCCATCTCGGACTCCATCTCGGGTCCATCTCGGGTCCACCTCGGACTCCATCTCGGGTCCATCTCGGACTCCACCTCGGGTCCATCTCGGACTCCATCTTGGACTCCATCTCGGGTCCATCTCGGGTCCATCTCGGACTCCATCTCGGGTCCATCTCGGACTCCACCTCGGGTCCATCTCGGACTCCATCTCGGGTCCATCTCGGACTCCACCTCGGGTCCATCTCGGACTCCATCTCGGACTCCATCTCGGGTCCATCTCGGGTCCACCTCAGACTCCATCTCGGGTCCATCTCGGACTCCACCTCGGGTCCATCTCGGACTCCATCTCAGACTCCTCCACGTGTCATGTGTTGGTCCTTTTAGGTCCCTTTTTGGAGCCTCGCTTATTGCTCGCCTTGTGCTCATTCCTTGAGCACTTCGTTAGGAGTTCCACTCCTGCTCTCGACCTTTCAAGTCGGAGCTTTTGGCCCAAACGTGTTACACTCGTTTGGCTTTCGCTTCGGCCACTACCACATGGCACCCTTCGGGCTCCACTTTGGGGCCTAGGAATTTTGTGTCTCACATTAAGCTAGTGACAACTACAGTTGGGAAAGAAGAAAAACAGGAGACAATCATGGAAAAATATTTTGCTCTTCATCCCATAATCTTGGAGGGAAAACAAATATGAGTCTGCAAAGGTATTTAGCATTTAAGTTTTTTGTTTTTTTTAACAAACACTATTTTAAAACAGATCATTAAACTCCCCCACTCCCTCTTCCTCTCGCAGAAGGAGAGAAGGCTCCAAGTTTTTGAGTGAGCAAAAGGCTCTCACCTCAAGAACTCAACAAGCTCTCTCGATTCCAAGCTTGGCTTGCGATTGATTGTGCAATTCTTTCAGTTTGGTTGCGCCAGCAATTGGGACTCCGACAAAACAAAACGTTCCATAAGCGTGATTTCCGGAAAGAGTACGTGCCTCGCTTCCTTCCATGCTTTAGATGCTCAAATGATTCTTTCATTCCCTTTCGCTCGCATAAATTACTCGTGTTGACAAGAAAAGAGTTGAAGTGTGTGAGAGTGTGTGTAAGTGTGTAACTTACGACAACTTCTTTTCATGTAGATTCCCCTGCATTCCCTGTCCTTTTGCTTCCTTTTTTAGTTCCATAGGCCAATGGATCGCTTGCTTCTTCTCTCCTCCTGCACTCTGCTGCGTCAGTTTCACTCGGGAAAACGTATTCTTATGTAATTGTTCGCTGGCCTCGGTGAGAAGAAGGCTTTCCTCCTTTTTTCCAGAGATGATCTTAAGGTGCTGTTTTCTTGTGAGAATTGGTGGTGCTCCTCCCCAGCACAATGCATTTGATGATTCCACGCCACCATTTGTCTCGTCATATGCTCACTGCCACTGTTCTTCCTCTGCTTCCAGAGCACAGGCGCCAGAAAAGTTTGAAGAGGCATTCTGAACTTGACACCATTTCCTCCAGGTATTTCATCTCTTGCTTGATCGTTTTCTTGACGATGTTCGCCTCAGGTAATCCAAGCTTTCAGACATGGTGAAGTTCCAGAAGCAGCTGGAGGGCCAGCTCGTCCCAGAGTGGTGGGTGAAGTACTGCGACTACAAGCAGCTCAAGAAAGTTGTCAAGAGAATCAAAAACCAGATCCTACATACCAAGAACCAGCAGCACAAGGTGTTCGATCCAAATGTCTTCTCGGTTGACAAGAGCAAGCTTCAAAACTTGCTGCAAAATCCCAGCGCCATCCTGAGCAGCTGCTGCGAACAATCCATATCCTCGGAAACGTCCATGGATGTTCTGGACTGTAAAGACAAAACAAAACACTTCAATACGATCAGGTTGTGCACAAGACGAGAATTGGAGATGGTGAGGATTTTTACGAGACGGAGCTGTTTGGAACTCGATCAGATCACGAAAAGAGCTTCTTTTTCGGCCTTGACGATCAGCTCAACAAAGTGGACAAGTTTTTTAGATGCAAGGAAGACGAGTACGATGCTCAAGCACGGCAACTTCACATCCAAATGGAAGAGCTCATCGCTATGCAAGGTTCGTTCTAGCAGCCTCTAATTCTGTGGCACTTAACTTGGAATCGTTTGATCTCTGCCATGTTGTAGATGACGAATCTCAGAGCTTGAAGGGGAGCCTGGCAACAAAGGAAAGGTTCAGCGAGCAGCCAAGATGCTCCAGACGGCCTTTGTCGAATTTTATCGTGGGCTTCGACTCCTAAGAAACTTCAGGTGAATGACCTCTATACGATTGATCCATGTTCTCAAAGTGTTGAAAACTCACTTGGCAGCTCCTTGAACGTGATGGCATTCGTCAAGATCCGCAAGAAATATGACAAGGTACTTATGGAAAATGGAAAATTACTGCGGACTTCTAAAAAGGTTATTTAAATTTTCAGGTGACTGGAGTCTGGCAGTTACCTCAAGATGGTCGAAAACTCTCACTTTGCAACGTCGGACAAGGTGTGAATCTAATGAAAGGTGAAACCGTGTGATGGTGCTCAAGATCCGTCATAGCATATATGGAATGAAAAATGTACATATGTGTCACATGGTGAACCGGTGAAGACTCGTGTCTCTCCACGTGGACTAGCCACGTGGCACAGGGCCACTCTCAACACTCCCACTGGCACTGTGGCCATCACGAGTGATGCTCATCAGTGGAGAAAGTCCCAGCCCTTCGCGATGGACTTGAAATCGATCTCGGGGTAGTGCTTTTGTGAAGATATCTGCAACCTGAGTGGTCGTGTCGCAGTAGATCAGCTCAATTGTGCCATCTTCCACTTTCTCACGAACAAAATGATGATGAATCCCAAAGTGTTTGGTGCGTGAATGAAAGCGAGGATTGGCCGCTAACGCAATGCAGCTTTGATTGTCACAGAAGAGGCGAGTGGGAGTCTTCACACTCACACCAAGGTTAGAAAGTAGTGAGCGTAACCACACACCTTCTTTGGTAGCTTGTGAGGCTGCCAAATATTCTGCTTCAGTACTAGAGGTTGCCACTGTACTTTGCTTCCTGCTGCACCACGAGACTGTCGCACTGCCCAGGGAAAATGAATAGCCAGAGGTGGACTTGCGTGTGTCACAGTCTCCCCCAAAATCAGCATCACAGTAGCCCGTGAGGGTAAGCGCTTTTCCCTGGTAGCACAATCCAAGGTAAGTAGTACCTCGAAGGTACCTGAAGATGCGTTTCACCGCTGCCCAATGTTGAGATCCAGGATTAGCCAGGAATTGGCTAACTTTGCTCACGGCAAAAGAAATATCTGGGCGCGTACAAACAGCTGGATACATGAGACTGCCAACAGCTTGTCTGTAAGGGATGGAGTCCATGGCTCTCTTGTCGTCCTCTGTCTCAGGAGACATGGCTCGTGAAAGCTGGCAGCCTAGTTCCATTGGTGTCGCCACTGGATTAGAGCTCGTCATAGAAAACCTGGCCAGCATCTCTTCTATATACTTGGCTTGGTGAAGATAGATAGTGCGTTGAGAGCGATCACGCACAAGTTCCATGCCAAGAAAGTAGGAAGCCGAGCCAAGAGTTTTCATCTCAAATTGGCTGCAAAGATCTGGCTTAACCTGGAGAAACATTAAGCGATGGTTATGGATGACAAGAGTATCATCAACATAAAGAGCGATGATCACAAATGATTCACCCTCCACCTGAATATAAAGATTCGGGTCTGCCTCGCTACGGGAAAAGCCCACACTTAGTATAAAATCGTCAAAGCGTTTGTACCAAGATCTGGGTGCTTGTTTCAAGCCGTAGACAGCTTTCTTGAGAAGCCAGAGATGATCCTCTTTTCCAGCGGCTAGAAATCCTTCTGGCTGTGCCATATAGATTTCTTCTTCAAGCGCGCCATAAAGAAACGCCGTGGTCACATCCATCTGTTCCAGATCAAAGTCTCCCACCGCAGCAAAATTAATCAAGGAACGAAGAGTAGAATGCTTAACCACTGGAGCAAAGGTGTCGTTGTAGTCAAGTCCAGGAACTTGCGAGCATCCTTTCGCCACCAATCGCGCCTTGTAGCGAACCGAGCCATCAGGATTAAGCTTCAGAGCATACACCCACATGCTCTTGATAATCTGGCGATTGGAAGGCACAGTTGGAACAAGAACATGTGTCTCGTTCTTTTGCTGTGAAGCAATCTCGGCTTCCATTGCTACACGCCAGTAAGACGCTTCCTGTGAGGCCATGGCTTCTCCATAGGTCCTCGGAACAGTAGGAGTCCCAGCTGCACGAGAGGAGACCATTGTCTCGATGAGACGCTCAGTAGGCCGCCTTGTGCGGATCGATCTGCGTAGAGGATCTGGAGGAGGCGGCGGGGTTGGTGGTGTTGGAGTAGAAGCGGGCATGGGTTGTTGTGTAGGGACTGTTTGAAGCGGCACAGTGATCGTGCCGACAGTCAACTGATCTTGTTCCGCTTCAACGTCATTTTCTTCGGTCAAGGTAGGTCTGGAAGTAGAACCTTGACTAGAAGGAAGAAACGAATTCTCGTTGAAAACCACATCTCTGCTCAGGATCTCCTGCTTCGTGATTGGATTCCAGAGACGATAGGCTTTGTGATCGAGGCTGTAGCCCACAAACACAGCCTTCTGGCTCTTGGGATCCAATTTCTTGCGCATTCCATCAGGGATGTGTGCCCACGCTTCACACCCGAATATTCTCAGATGCGTAACTGTAGGTTTCTTGCCACTCCATGCTTCTTCAGGAGTGATGTCAGCAAGGGCAGAGGTGGGGAGCCGGTTCTGGAGATAGTTCGCCGTCAAGACAGCGTGAAACCAGAAGCTGCGAGGCAAACCACTGGAAAGTAGCATTGCCCGAGCACTCTCCACTAGTGTGCGATTCTTGCGCTCAGCTACGCCATTCTGTTGTGGAGTCTCTCGCGTTGTAAGTTCTCGCACAATCCCTCCTTGCTCACACAGCTGGTTGAAAGCATTGGAAGTGAATTCGCCTCCACCATCACTTCTCAATCGCTTGAGCATTTTCCCAGTTTGTGTTTCTCCCATATCCTTGAAAGTCTGGAAGTAGTGTAACGATTGGGATTTGCGAGCCATAGGGTAGATCATAGTGCGACGACTGTAGTCATCAATGAAACTGATAAAGTATTGGATACCTCCCACTGCTGTGGTGGCCATCGGGCCACACACATCAGTGTGTACAAGTTCCATGAGCTCTGTAGCTCGAGATGCTCCAGTCTTGGGGAAAGGTTGGCGAGTAGATTTTCCTAGCTGACAGCCCTGGCAAAATGGAAGAACGGCTCTTGGGTCCAGGTCTAGACCTTCAACCATCTGCTCGCGTGTGAGCTGCTTGATTCTATCAGCACTAGGATGCCCCAGGCGTGCGTGCCAAAGCTCCAGTGAGTGACTGGTCGTTGTCTTTTGTGCGTGTAGGCCCAGACTCCGTCCAGCAAGATCTGGCAGCATGGTAATGTGGGAGTGAACAAGACCACGTCAGCACACAGCCACGTGAGCGATCCAGACGCCGCCACGGATCGTCACGATAAACCCATACATTTAACCGTGTATCAACCGTCATAATAATAACACAACACCGTTTCATAATACCACATGGTATCGGAGCAGCGAACGATCTAATGGCAAGAGGACAGTGGCAGATGAAGAATCAAAGGGGCCAGGAACCCTTGGCTCAGGAGCGCGCGAGGGCTTTGGCAGTGCTGGCGCGGGTGGAGCGGAAGATCCAGGACCGAAAGCGCCAACAAGCTCTTTGCCCAGCCTGCCGGATGGTGTGCCCTTGTTGCGGCCGAGTTTTTCACGATTCTTCTCCACGCCGTCCTTTCTAAATTCTCTGTTTAATCTATTCTTAGATTAATAGATAGAATGTCTTCTGCTAACGCAGCAGGAAATTCTTGGGACTCTGGGGGCTGGGAGAAACTTCTCCAAAAGTTCACGGGACAGAATTTCTCCACTTGGAAAACAAAAGTACAGCTTATCCTTTTGGCCAAGGACTGCTGGCCTATAGTGGATGGAACGACTCAACGTCCGGCTGCTGCGGATGTAACCCAACGGCTCGACTGGGACTCCAAGAATCGAAAAGCGCTCTCTGTCATCGGGTTAGGTCTTGGGGATGAATTCGTTCATCTCCTTGATCTTACCAAAACAGCCCACCAGAACTGGACATCCCTTACACAAATCTTCGCTGCCAAAGCTGCCAATGCTAAGGTGGTGCTAACACAAAGGTTCTTCACGATGAGAATGCAACCTGATGACACCATGGCCACTTACATTGGAAAGTTTAAAGCGATGATCACCGAGCTGAAGGACGCGGAAGCGGCAATCACCATTGACCAAGCTAAGGCATTCCTTCTAAGCTCTGTCTCCCCTGATCTCCAACCTTTCGCATCGATGCTCTCGGCTGTACCTGGAAAGGACTTGGACTCGCTCTACTCGGACCTGATCGAGGAAGAACGAAAGCAGAACGAGCGGAGACAAAAGGCGCCCTCTCAGGCTGCTCGGGTGGAGCAGGCCTTGATCATGGGAAAGCAATCGGGTGGGAAGAAACGAGATGGCCCTGTTCGAGGACAAAAGAGCCCTTCTCCCAGCCCTGGATTTGCAACCAATAAAAAACGCAAGGGCCCATGTAACTACTGCGGCAAAGCTGGCCACGTGGAGCGTGAATGCCGGATCAAGAAAGCCGCAGAGAAAGCTCGCGCTGAAAGAAGCTCTTCTTCACGCCAACCTGACACGATGTTGATGATGACGCTCGCTGCATCTTCATCCACTGTGTCCGAAGCCGAAGTGCTCTGGATGGATTCTGGAGCCTCGATGCACCTCACACCATTGAAGAGAGCTTTTCACAAGTACCGGCCACTGGAGCAGGAGAAGCAAGTCTTTGTAGGAGACAAACGCCCCTTAACAGTGGAAGGACAAGGAACGGTCATAAAGTTGGAGAGTGGAGCTGAGAAGCTCGTGAACCAGGTCTACTACGTACCAGAAGCAGGACAGACAGTGTTCTCAGTTGGTGTAGCAGCAGATCAAGGCTTCTCAACACTCTTCAACGCAGACGGATGCACCATCTTTGACGAGACTGGCCATCCAGTAGCTTTTGGTAGACGAGCTGAGACTCTCTACAAGCTCAATGCTCAGTTGATCCTCTCAACTCACGAGCAGGGGCATTTGCTTGCAATTCGCCCCAGCTCCTGGGCTGCCAACTCTCTCCAGCTCTGGCACGCTCGGCTAGGGCATGCCAATTCTCACGACATCCAGCTACTTGCTAGCCACAAGCTTGCTGATGACTTTACCCTCACCGGTGCCAGCCAACTGGGAGTATGTGAGACGTGCCAACTGGGGAAGCAGCCAAGACTACCCTTTCCACGCAGAAGTCCAGAAGATGGCGCCTCAGGATTTCTTCAGCTGGTACACACGGATGTGTGCCATGTGCCAGAAGCAACTCTCAGTCACAAGCGGTACTTCGTTTCGTTCATTGACGACTACTCACGCTATGCGGTGGCTGTTCTCATGGCACACAAGGGAGAGGTCTACCATCACTTCCAGGTCTACAAAAGCTGGGCAGAAAATGCCACTGGCTGTACCATCCGGACACTACGTTCAGATGGCGGCGGTGAGTATATGAGCAAGGAGTTTCTGGCATTTCTTGCTCAGGCTGGCATCCACCACGAGTACACCGCAGCCCACACCTCGCAGCAGAATGGGGTCGCCGAGCGCCTGAACAGGACACTTATGGACTGTGTACGCTGCCTTCTCCAGCACGCTGGCATGCCCAAGGTGTTTTGGGGAGAGGCACTCAACACAGCAGTGTACCTCCGGAACCGGCTGCCAACACGTTCCACAGGACAGGTGCCGTTTCAAGTATGGACTGGGAAGCGCCCCAAGTTAGGGCACTTGAGGGTGTTTGGTTGCATAGCCTACGCCCACATCCCCGATGTTCAGCGGCGGAAGCTGGATCCCAAGAGCGAGAAATGCATCTTCATGGGCTATCACACCCAGGTAAAAGCCTATCGACTCTATAACTGCCAGCGCAGGAAACTGGTGGTGAGCCGAGATGTGGTGTTTGATGAAGCTCGTCTTTATCGAGATACCCTGAGACTCCCTCCTGTTTCTCCACCATCTCTGGTGGATCTTTCTGAGATTTTGGACGACGTTCCACATCTCCACCCAGCACCAGACAATCCAGCCGCTGCAGAGCCAGGAGGAGTTGCTGAAGGAGCGCCCGAAGGAGGCGATCTGGCAGGAGGAGCTGATCACGGTACTTCTCTTCCTTCGACACCTCCTCTGACGACTCCACAGGCCACAGCGGCTGCATCCTCAAGCACCAATGAACAGCCAGATCTTTCCACGCTTGTGGCTGACCTGTTCGTTGGCGACGAGTTATATCAAGATGCCACCACTCCTCCTAGCATTCCCAAGCTACCACCTCCTCCAGCCGGCACAGCAGTGGTGACACGCTCGGGTCGTGTCGTGAAACCATCTCTTAAAGCCAAGGAGGCGATGCCTATAGGAAAGCGTGCCTACTTCTGGGCTCTGTCGGCTCCACCTGCCTCTCTCGGTCCCCAAGCGGCTCTACATGGACCAGAAGCTGAACACTGGCAGGCAGCTATGCAGGAGGAGTATGATTCTCTCCAGAAAAACAACACTTGGTCGCTGGTTGAACTTCCAGCTCGCAGAAAGCTCGTCTCATCCAAGTGGTTGTTTAAGAAAAAGTACAACGCTGATGGAAGCATTGAGCGCTACAAGGCGAGATTTGTGGCACGCGGATTTTCTCAAGTTCATGGGCTGGACTACTCGGAGACTTACAGCCCGGTGGTGAAACTCACAACCATTCGTATGCTACTAATCTTAGCTGCAGAATTGGATCTCGAGCTCCATCAACTTGACGTTTGTACTGCGTTCCTTAACGGCGACATCGATGAAGAGGTGTATATGGCTCAGCCTCCTGGTTTTATCCAGCCTGGAGAAGAACACCTCGTTTGCAAGCTTAACAAAGCTCTCTACGGACTCAAGCACCAATGGTACACGAAAATAGATTCTTTTCTAATTTCCCTTGGTTTCGTGCGCAGTGCTGCTGATTGTAACCTCTACATATATTTTGACGCTGAGGGCTATTTGTTCCTTGCGCTATATGTGGACGATGCTATTCTCGTGGCAAATCAGCTACGTTTGATCCACAAATTTAAAACGTACCTTGGCGCTAAATTTGCCATGAAAGACCTCGGTGAGTTGCATTTCTGCCTCGGTATCCAGGTGACGCGCAACAGGGAACGAGGCACTCTGGAGCTAAGCCAGGCAAAATATGTTTCCGACGTGCTCCAGAGGTATGGCCTTGCTCATGTTAATCCGGTTGCTACTCCCATGGAAACAGGCACGAAATTATCTGCTGAGAGTGGAGAGTACCTTGATCAATCTCCCGAGGAGGAGAAAGCATCTAGAGCAGTCTATCGCTCTATGGTCGGCAGCCTGATCTACCTGGTAATCTCCACTCGGCCTGACCTTGCGTATGCTGTGGGAACAGTGGCGAAGTACCTGGACCGTCCCTCCACAGCACACTGGCAGGCTTTGAAACGTATTATGAGGTACGTGGCAGGGACTAACCAGCTAAGTTTAAAGTACTCCAGAGGCGAGAGCGGCAACAAGCTGGCTGGTTACTCTGATGCTGATTGGGCCGGGGATCCAGACAACAGGAAGTCAACCACAGGCTACGTTTTCCTGCTAAATGGAAATGTCGCAAGCTGGTGCAGCAAACGACAGGCTATTACAGCGATGTCGAGTACCGAGGCTGAGTACATAGCTGCAGCAGCTGCAACCAAGGAAGCAGCGTGGCTGAAGGGACTTCTCCAGGATCTACAAATCAACACGGGCGTGGTCAAGCTATTGTGTGACAACCAGTCTGCAATAGCTTTGACCAAGAACTCCAGATCCAGAGAGGAATGATCGAGCTGGAGTTCTGCCCGACAAACTCCATGCTAGCGGACGTGCTAACAAAACCACTTCCTCGTGTTAAACATGAAGTCTTCACGAAGGCACTTGGGCTGACCTTAGACGTTGGCCTTGAGGAGGAGTGTGGGAGTGAACAAGACCACGTCAGCACACAGCCACGTGAGCGATCCAGACGCCGCCACGGATCGTCACGATAAACCCATACATTTAACCATGTATCAACCGTCATAATAATAACACAACACCGTTTCATAATACCACAGGTAAGGCGGTAGAGGTCACGCCGTCCAGGCCGGGACGCTGTGAGGATGGCTCCTGTGGTCGAGATCAGCTGGAATTGGCGAGGTGTAATGGCGAACTGATACCCATCCTCAGCAAATTGTCCCACAGAGAACAAATTAGCACATAAACCAGGAATATAAAGAACCTCGTGGATCTTTACGACTATTCCTTGTGGTAAAGTGAACTTGATGGTTCCAACTCCTTTCACAGCAAGCTGCTGGGCATTGCCAACGATGACATACTCCTCTGTGGCTGTAGGAACATAGGCTTCAAAGTACTTATCACTGTTGAACATATGGTCTGTGGCAGCAGAATCCAGGTAGATGCACTCTGCAGACAGTGCTGCCACAGCCATAGCTCGTGACAAGATGAAGGCGTGTACCACCTTTTTCTTTGCATTGTTCCTTACAGGCTTGAGAGATGGATTTTTCACCCAGCATTGAGCTTCGTCATGGCCTTTCTTGTTGCAATGAGAACACTTGGGCTTCTTGGATGAAGAGGCTCCTTGTTTCCCTTTGTTCACTGTTTCTTTCCTGAGAGAAGAGTAGAATGCAACGGCCTCTGATCCTGTTGTTGCTCTTCGTCTCAGATCATCGTCCTGGAGGCTACTGATCACGCCATTCAGGGTTAGAGGAGTTCCAGTGGTAGTGAGGCTACGTATGAGAGGATCAAAGGATGGAGGAAGTGTGACGAGCACCAGCTCTGCTTCTTCTTCATCCTCTATGTTTGCACCTACATCCTTAAGATCATCTAAGATGGTTCTCACACCAGCAAGATGATCCTTGAGATCATCCCCTTCAACCATCACCAATGCATGAAGCTGCTTCCGTAAAAATATGCGATGGGATGTTGAAGGGATCTGGTAAGTCTGCTTCATGGCCTCCCACGCTTCCTTTGCACTCTTGCACCGTCCAATGCAATGGAATTCTCGCCCCTCCAGCGCTGCATGGAATTTGCCCAAAGCTCTCCGGTCCTTCTTGCGATACTTCGCAGTTTCATCCACTGTAGCTGTATCTGGAAGTGTCTCAGTTCCTGTGGTGATGTCCCAGAGGCCTCGTTCATCCATATAGGATTCGAATTTTGTCTTCCAGAAGCGCCAGTTCCTCCCATCAAATTTTGGTGGATTTGCGTCCACTGAAATGATATCCGCTGTAGGCACAGTCGGATTTGTGATGGGAGGGGAAATAGGTGGTGGATTTGGAGGCGGATTTGTAGGAACAGTGGCTGCCATGGGTGCCGACACCCAATCCCACCACTCGTTCAAGTCTAGGTCCAGGTTCTTAGTCGTCCAGTGCCTCTTGCAAGGCCTGGAGCGCTTGGATTAGGGCACGCCTCTGTCTACGTAGACGGAGGCTCCGATTCACCCTAGCGAG